TCCGAACAATTCCTCAGAAATACGCAGCAATGGAAGAATTCGCCTCGGCGTGGCCTGAAATGTCACAAAAAGGACTATGGGACCCTAGCCTTAGATGGAATTTTGGAAAGCAGTGACCTAGAATAACATGACAGTCCTAAACACCCAGACTGAAGATGTAAATGAATTCTTACCTTTTTTAAAAGAAAAGGAGATTTAATGATTTCTTATATTTACGCGAACACTACACATTGAATAAAACAATTTTTACGGATTTAATCGCGTTTAATTAACTTATTTTATTTGCAAGGTTTCAAGATACTGTAAGCTAATTCTGCATAGATCGAACCAAAAATTAATATTCAAAAACTGAAGGTAGCCGGGCTAACTGTGACATCGGGATATCAAACGTCTCAGTCTCTCCATGACCATGGGTTGCTGTATAGCACCCGAAACGTCGGGAATTAAAATAAGTAAATTAACCGCGATTAAATCCGTAAAAATTGTTTTATTCAATAAAAAGGAGATTTACTTTTATATGTAAGACAGAATTACCGAAGGAGTTGCAAGTGCGTTCCCGCTCCTTCAGAGAGAATTTAGCTCTTATCCTGTTCAAAGTTCCTTTAGACATATCATCACATTTTCTATTCAGTCTCCTTTTTACGTATCTCACCTGTGTTGTAAACACATACGTGCACTTTAATCTTGCCATATGCAGATGACTGGTCTCCGTCCATCTGGTCGCCATGACCGAAATTCGCTCTGGATGACATTTTTACGGGATGTAATATTAGAGTAAAAAATGATAATGATATATTGTCACTTGGTGCATATTCTAATAATAAAGCAAGTACTTAAAAGTTTTATATTTGGCGCACCGAAAAATTATAATTATATAAATTAAAATTGTTACAAGCTGTCAATTTCAAACGCTGTTAATATATTGTAACAATTTATATTTTATCAATTTAAGTTTATTGTTATCTGCTGATTTATTTGCTGTTACTACACCGGACAGCTGACTATCACAATTTTGTGGTATTTGGGTGTGATCTTTTCCAATTGACATATCATATTAAACGGTGGTAGAGCCCCGCAGCAGTTTTTTGCTGTTGCACGTATGGGCAGGCTCGAGCCGGGTTGGTACCACGACCTCACAGAATACCGGCGTGAAGTAGAGGCTCTGCTTCTGCGTTTCGTCTGGTGAGTGAGGTGGCCGGAGGCCCAATTCCCTCCCCCCCCCCCATCAACATGGTAGCGGAATTACAAAGTAGACTACCCCAGGAGGGTACCAGTACCCCTGGAGAATCCCTCGCTGAGCATCCACGACCATGTTATTCCAATCCTGAGCGTGGGTGCTCAGGCTGCCCCGCGTATTCTGGGGGGGGGCAAAATTCCGCTCAAAAACAAAACTGCTTGGGGCAAACTGAGCAACAATACCAAGGCGACCCCTGCCACGCTATCCGTGAATTTCTGCAACATCAGGGGACTTCACTCTAACCTAAACGCCGTCCACTACCATCTCGAGACGGCGAAGCCGGCCTTGCTCTTTCTGACCGAGACGCAGGTTTCCTCTCCGGCTGATATTTCGTATCTCTCCTGCCCGGGGTACAAATTGGAGCACTCCTTTGTGCCTCGGGCTGGAGTTTGCGTGTATGTCAGAGAGGACATCTGTTCTCGACGCCTCGGCAGTCTTGAAGGTTCGGACCTGTCCATCCTTTGGCTACGCGTAGACAGCGACGACCATCCGCGCGTCTACGGGTGCCTCTATAGGTCCCATAGCGGTAATGCCGAAACAGACCGACTCATCGACCACGTCCAAATGGCTACAGATTCCTTGCTACAACAGGTCCCATCCGCAGAGATCGTGATCCTTGGCGATTTTAACGCCCACCATGCCGAATGGCTCGGTTCACGTTTAACCGATCATGCGGGGAGATCTGTTTATGACTTTGCTTTGGCATATGGTCTGACACAACTGGTTACTTCGCCTACGCGGATTCCAGATGTGGAGGATCATACACCTTCCCTGTTGGACCTTCTGCTGACCTCTCATCCGGACGGATATCAGGTTTCCGTCGATGCCCCTCTCGACTCTTCGGACCATTGTCTGATCCGGAGTATGGTGCCACTCACGCTCCCTTCGCGGTTGCGTTCTGCAGGTTGCCGCCGTGTTTGGCATTACAGGTCGGCGGATTGGGATGGAATGCGGTCTTTCTTTGCATCCTACCCATGGGGGCGGGTTTGCTTCTCGCCGGATGATCCCAGCGCTGTTGCTGACTCTGTCACTGATGTGGTGCTACAGGGAATGGAACTATTTATTCCATCATCTGTGGTACCCATCGGAGGCAGATCTCAGCCTTGGTTTGGTCGCTCCTGTAAGACTGCATTGCGCAGAAAGCAGGAGTGTTATCAAGCCTGGGCTGCGGCTTCGGTGACTCGGAATGTAAACACCAGCACACTTAAAAAGAAGTATAACTTCGCCTCCAGGTCCTTCAAAAGAGTTATTGCCAGGGCAAAGTCAGAGCACATAGGCAGAATTGGCGAGAAACTAGTTCGCCTTCCTTCGGGAACCCGTGCATTCTGGTCTCTCGCCAAGGCTGTCCAAGGGAATTTCTGTAAGCCATCACTACCATCTCTGCACAGGGAGGACGACTCACTGGCCCACGACGCAAAAGAGAAGGCCGACCTTTTAGGCTCCCTTTTTGCGTCCAACTCGACTGTTGATGACGGGGGGAACACACCGCCGACCATTCCGCGGTGTGAGTGCTCTATGCCGGATGTGCTATTCTCACAGCGCTCGGTTCGCAGAGCACTCCTCTCCCTTGACATCCACAAGTCGAGTGGGCCTGACGGAATCCCCCCAATTGTGCTGAGGACGTGTGCTCCGGAGTTGGCACCGGTTCTAACGCGTCTTTTCCGGTACTCCTACTCCCATGGCGTTGTCCCGAACTCATGGAAGACAGCTTTTGTCCACCCGATCCCTAAAAAAGGCGACCGCTCAGACCCGTCCAACTATAGGCCTATCGCGATCACCTCCCTGTTCTCCAAAATAATGGAATCCATTATTAACTGCCAGCTCATCCGGTACCTTGAGGATCACCAGCTGATCAGTGACCGCCAATACGGTTTTCGTCGGGGTCGATCAGCTGGTGATCTTCTAGTCTACCTGACCCATAGATGGGCGGAGGCAGTAGAGTCCAAGGGGGAGGCGTTGGCCGTTAGTCTGGACATTGCGAAGGCCTTCGATCGGGTTTGGCACAAAGCGCTTCTTTCGAAGCTCCCTTCCTATGGGCTTCCCGAGAAATTGTGCAATTGGATCACCAGCTTCCTTGCAGATCGGAGCATCAAGGTCGTTGTAGACGGTGCATGTTCTGACTACAAGCCTATTAACGCTGGTGTTCCACAAGGCTGTGTGCTATCACCAACGCTGTTTCTTCTGCATATCAATGATATGTTGCTAACTGGTAACATTCATTGCTATGCGGATGACAGCACTGGTGATGCTCTATACACCGGCCGGGCCAATATTTCTCGGGAAAACGTCGCCGAGTACCGGAACAAACTTGTGTCTGAAGTCGAGTCTTTGCTGGACAAAGTCTCGGATTGGGGGCGACTAAATCTAGTCCAGTTTAATCCTCAGAAGACACAAGTTTGCGCGTTTACCGCTAAAAAGAACCCCTTTGTCGTATCTCCTCAGTTTCAAGGCACTCCCCTTCTTGCCTCAGCCAGTATCGGTATCCTCGGAGTCGACATATCGAGTGACGTGCAGTTTCGTGGTCACTTGGAAGAGAAGGCCAAATTGGCCTCTAAAAAGCTTGGCGTGCTCAGCAGAGCGGGACAGTATTTCATGCCGGCACACCGCCTGCAACTTTACAAGGCGCAGGTTCGGCCTCACATGGAATACTGTTCCCATCTCTGGGCAGGGGCTCCCCAGTGCCAGCTCCTTCCACTTGACCGCATCCAGCGCAGAGCGGCTCGAATCGTCGACGACCGAGCCCTTTCCGATCGGCTCGATTCATTGGCACTGCGAAGAGATGTTGCATCTCTTTGCATTTTCTTTCGCATCTACCATGGGGAGTGCTCTGAGGAATTGTTCGGATTAATCCCAGCCGCCAAATTTCATGAACACACATCGCGGCAGAACTCCCGATACCATCCACACCATCTGGATGATTGGCGGTCCACCACTGTGCGATTTAGAAGATGTTTTCTTCCTCGCACGACTTCTTTGTGGAATCGATTACCATCAGCGATTTTTCCGGACCGATACGACTTAGGGACCTTCAAGAAAAGAGCCTACTCCTTTTTAAAAGGCCGGCAACGCATCTGCAATTCCCCTGGTGTTGCGGTTGTTCGTGGGCGGCGGTAGTCACTTACCATCAGGTGAGCCGCATGCTCGTTTGCCCCCTCTCCTATAAAAAAAAAAAAAAAAATCACCATAGTATATTAATATTAGTATTTTTTTAATTATAAATGTACACATCCTGTATTATTCGGTTATTCCCCTTTGTTGTTAGATATCAAGTTATATTTAAGCGGCGATTCGGGTTCACGTTTCGTAGTCTTCGCTTTTTGCACCAAGATGTTTGGTCAACTGTTCATCTATTTCCTCGGTAAGCCATTGTAAGACTCACATCACATAATTTGAAAAATATTTATATAAAATACTTTTAACATATATTTCATTACCCATATCTTGTTCTTCATAATCATCATCCCGTAAAAGGGCATGAGCCTCTCCCGTGGTATTGAGGATCTTGGATTGACCATTGCATCATCATTGCATTGCATTGCATTGTCATCTCGCATGTGTATTTTACGCCTGGCGTTCTGCGTATTTTACGCTTGGGTTTAACCGCCCTTTATTGGAAGCTGTATCTATAATTTTTCTGGCATATCACATAGTCTCCTCTTTGATACTTACGAGACATAATAAGAGATAAAAGTATTGAATAGAAGTGGAACGATTTAAAATCACACCACTGTATTTATTTACTATAAATACTTATTATTTACAGGAATTATCGTTGTGAGTGCCTCAAATCATGTCAATTTCTTTCGACGAGACTACACTTTCGTAGAAGAATACAACGCATTTTACAAATTGCACTGGGCTGATGACGCGGGTACGTGGGACGAAGCATTTTTAGTCTGCGACTATGAAGGAGCTAGCTTTTTTTATCCCGAAGATGTCGATGAATGGCGAATTGCGAGAAATTTATCCGATTCTCCCGACTTAGAAGGAATCTTTGTTGGTGTTCATGATGAATTAGGACGAGGAGATTTGCTCTCTTATGACGGTAAATATAATAGAATGATTTGTGATATTGACATCAAATATAATAAGGAACTGCCCTATAATTAGCGGTAATGTTTCAAATAAAGTAACTTTTTGTAAATATTTAATACATTATTTGAAACATTAGTAATGATATTAACGATACTAATAACCCCTCCCACAGTATTTACTAAATAAGTCAAAAGGCACAAGTATTTTAAGAATACTTGGAGTGGTTAACATGGCATTAGTAATGTTAATGGAGTTGCCATTATTCTTTAAAAAATTATAAAAATGTTTCTCCGATTACAATAATATCTACAAAAACATTTGACTATAAATAAATGAGACTTTCAACAAAAATAATTGAGCTTTGCATTATAATTTTTTTCCAGGAAATTTCCTTCCAGAATTTTCTGAATTACACGTTTATAGTCAAGATGATTCCGAACCGAAATGCGTAGTCATGTCGGTTAACACGGGCAGGTACAGCATCGGTTCCTGTAAAAACAGAAAACCGTTTATTTGCAAGAAAAAAGATAATGAGTATTGTCCTACTGTCGATGCAGGTTAGTCTTATACTCGTATTTATTATTTTTCAACCGACTTCAAAAAGGAGGAGGTTTACAATTCGTCGGAATTTTTTTATATATGTTCATCGATTACTCGAAGATGCCTGAACCGATTAGAAAATTATTTTTTTGTTTCAAAGGGTATAACTTCCCAGGTGGTCCCATTTAAGTTTTATCGAAATCGAAAGTGGTTTCAAAAAAATTAACAATAAATTATATTTATATATGAAGTCGGTTGCAAAATTTTTAATGTTACCACATTTTATCATAGCCAGCATACTAATTATTCTAGTGTAAAGTCTGGTCGGCAAGAATTTATAAAAATATTATGGAAATGTCTCGCCATAGCGACTGCCGATTAAATATCGCAATCCGGGTGACGCGCGAGGTTGGACGGGCGCGCTGATGCGGCGTCTTTTATATTATCTATCAGCAAGAATAGTTAGTGGGCCGCAATTTGTAACGTACTAGCTGTGCCCCGCGGTTTCACCCGCGTATATCACGCGTCTGCGCCTTGCGACATGCGAACTTCGAGAGAGACATCACGACGGACGGTTGCTGAATTAACAAAGATTTAAAAAGTGAAATATGTTACTAAAATTACATGGTTAACGAAACTGGTGGTTATGCATGATACAGGTACTGATACGAATAATGTGGCCTAGTTTGTACCGGCGTTACTATTTCACATTTTAACATGAAAAAGTAGTTATTGTGACATAACTGTAATAGTTAAACATATGATATTGACTTTTTTGTAGATATTGATATCTTCTATAAAACTGAAGTACATTACTTTGCTCTATTATCAATAGTTTCCGCAGCGTACGCGATATAAGGATTCTTTTTGGTATGTTTTTCACACCTTGGGTTACATTAACGAATTTTTCATACGGATCTCTAACTTCTTTGAAAATATTATATAACCTATGTTCATCAGGGATAATTATAATCCTAATGGTGAAAGAATTTTTCAAATCGCTCCAGTAGTTTCGGAGCCTATTCAATTCAAACAAACAAACAAATCTTTCCTCTTTATTTTATTTTTTTAATTTATTAGGATGAACAAACAGTTTGCACAATATTTCTTAATCTAGAATACATTTACTACAAAAAAATATAATATAATAGTGCAACCAACAACGTTGACCACCAATTACTATTAATAAAAGCTGAGATTGAGATTAGCGCATTTCTCATCTGATACAATGTTTATGTCTTCAACTAATAAAATGATGAAAAGTAATTATTATTCCAATAACCAATAACACAAACTCATTCTCCTCTGAGTACTGAAAGTAACTTCTTTTTATAAAAACCTACCTTATGAGCAAAAATATCAATGTTATTGAAATTATTATTATAACAATTTACAAACATATACATAGGGGATCTTTTACCTATGTTGGTTTGACATTTATTAGTAAAAAATGTATGTTTGGTATGAACTCTGCGACAACAATGGCCTATATGGTACTCTGTATTGTATCATATTAACTAGTTCCATACTATCGTACCTGTTATGACAGATATCATACAGTAACATAGCTTGAATCTTTTGACGTCAGGATTTTAATTTAAGTAAGTTATATTCGACCAGCAATTGATAGTAGGGTTAACTCATCTGCACTTGTAATTTACACTACGTAAAAACTTTTTTTGAATGGATTCGATTTTATCTATATATTTATAAAATTAACTATATATTTACGGACACCAAATAGCTACTGCATATTCGAGTTGTGATCTTATTAAAGATTTATAGAAGTGCAAATAAGTGAGAGGTTTTTTAAATTTACGACCAATACGCATCACGAAACCATACATTTTAAGAGCCTTATTAATTACGCTTTCTACATGTGTATCAAGGATAAGTTTACTATCTAATATTATTCCTAAATTTTTAATTTTATGAACTTTTTCTAATGGGACTCCACATAAAGAATAATTAAAATTACTTGGCTGACGCTTACGGGTGAACATTATGGCTTTACATTTATTAACACTCAAATCAAGCTTATTGCGTTTACAATAAGATGAAAAATTATCTAAATCTTTTTGAAAGTTAAGATGATCATGATAATGTTGAATTTTGCGATAAATTTTAATATCATCAGCGTACAGAATAAAATTACAAAACTTGAAACAACTATTAACATCATTAATATACAATATAAAAAGACGAGGCCCTAAAATTGATCCTTGTGGCACACCAGAACTTATATGCACAATATCTGACTCAAAACCTCTAATGACTTCTTTTTGGGTTCGATTTATCACATACGACTTAAACCATCTCCACAAATTACAACGGATGCCATTAAAGGCTAGCTTTTCCAGAAGTAGTTTATGGTCAACGCGATCGAAAGCTTTGCGGAAATCTGTGTATATGCAATCAGTCTGGATGTTACTATCCATATTCTCAAATAAGTAGTTTGTATAAATTAATAAGTTAGAGACAGTTGAACGCTTCTTAGTAAAAACTATTAGTATAGTTATAATAGTAGTGTAAATAATTTGTAACGTATAATAGTACAAAAATCAAAATCGATTTAAAAAACCTGACGAGAAAGTCTGTAGCCGTTGCTTTTATTTAAAAGAAATAAATTCACTTTTATGTAAGATAATAAAATTATTAATTACGAGCCCACACGTTACATACGCGAAAGGTAGCTAAGAGCAACGAGATGAGTTAAGGCGAAATTCGGGCTAAGAAGTGCCTTGGAAGAATGTTTAGTAGTGCACTGCCGCATGCTGAGAATTTTGAAGACATTCGTTTTGTATATTATAAATGTTTCTTATAATTATGTTTTTCTATCAAGAAACTCTCATTTTTGCCCGGAGTCAGGAAGTTGACTGTGTTTTATCGCTGTGCCTCGGAAAGCACGAAAAGCCGTTGGTCCTGCCCCTGATCTCTCTTCTCCGGTCATGTTGATTTACAGCTCCATTGGACTATGCGAGTAAGGAAATAGAGAGCGCACCTGTGTTTTCGCATACACTAACACTAACAACTAGAGCACTATAATCCTGTCCGAGCGGATGCCTAGTCTCTGTTAAAGCTGGTCGCCGTGATCGAAATTCGGTCTGGAGGACATTCTTATTATTATCATTTTAAATTCTTATTTATTTACTTTTTACCACGTAATACCTATACCTTAAATAAAATGGATTACTAGGAACACGGTTAATGCATTTTATATTGTCTGCAATAAAACGAAACTGAAACGGAATATTGTAAAAGGTGTTAAATACATAAAGTCCACATAATTTTAAATTACTATCTCTTCAAATTAAAAACTGTAAGTTTTTTCAGGGTATATATATTCAAAAACTACGAAAAAATGCTATAAAGTGCACAAAAGGGAAACTACTTGGGAAGACGCCATGCACACATGCTACATGGAAGGTGGCATATTGTCAACTGCCATGCACAGCTCGGAATTAAATGATATATTGAAAATGATTACAGAAGGACAACAATTCTTTATGGGATTTAGAATGATCATGCCAAACAATAATTTTTATTCTATTCGAGGTAATGATTATGATCTTAATACTGGAATTCTTCTTTTTCTTGTAGTAGGTGGTTCTTTCTACTATAAATATATCTGCAGTAGAACCAGAGTAACCGACTTAGCACAACAGATCAGTAAGTCACAATTATATACCTAATTTGAATTTGCTAGGTTCAATAGTGATAAAATTGGGCCGTTTCTCGTTTTAAAAAAAAATAATTTTCAAGGAACTGTGACGTTATTTACTCGTACTTCCAAACAATTTCTACACAAGTTTCACTTTGACAGCTTATAAGATTCATTCATGCCTTCAAAAGTCGACTCTGAACATTGGCCCTCCCAAAGAAATGCCACAAAGCACGATCCTGAGCCATGTGCATCCATCGACTTACTGCATAACTTACCAAGTCGTCACTCTATCCAGAGGGGGGCCGCTCTACACCTCGCTTACCGGTACGGTGTTGCTACTCGAGAACATTTCATCCTCATCGATTCACAGTTCTACGAGCTATATAGCCGGCCCATTGCCACTTCAGCACTTCTTTCAATTTAATATGAATGTCAAATACCTTACAAGACTATCTGAGGAAGAAAAGCTCGCGGATTAACAGAGGATGTTGGTAGGGTTCAATAATTTTCTTGTTTTTTTCGTATTAAGTTCTAAGTCCTAGTGGGCAGCTAGCTGCAATAGCCATCATGATTAGTGGGACTACTTCTACAATGGCCAATACTTTACCTTTATAAATACGTTTTTATATATAACTTATCTATGATTATCATCATTATTATAGCCCTTCACTAGTCTACTGTTGAACATAGGCCTTCCCCAATGGATGCCACAAGCACAGTATTGAGCCACCTGAATTTTTCGATTTCGAAACTACATACCGTCATGTGAAATTTGCTCCTTGCCCGCATAATAATAGAGAAAGGACACCAGAGCTCAAGGAACTCAAAGGTGAAGCGTTCGCCGTAATACACGAGCTACCAGGAATAGAACCCGTCATGCTTAAAGTCTATCTAAAGTCCAATGCTGAACTTAGCCGCAGCAGCAGCTATTTTAGTGGTTATTAGGAAGACGCTGCTGCCTATCTCTTGATTTGTTTCGCTATGTCGCCTATTATGATACCCACGGGACAATATGGGGTAATGGATAGCCGTACACCGCCATTATACAGTGAATACTTCCCTCTACAATAATATTATATACCTTAACACAGTAGCATTAGGTTCGAAATGCCGTTCTCTACCCAGACGGACTCCTAGATAGAAAAGGACTTCCACCACCTACTTACTAACGTTGTGTATCACGAATGATTTTTCCTCAAATTTATCAAAATACGTATCGATAAATCCACGCTGAAAATTACAAATAACGGCTTATTAGTGCCGCGCTGAGAATCTTTCTCAGGTAGGCCGCGTTTTACGAAAATTTTAAGGCCGAGGTTTGATATCGATGTACCTAACATGATTTATGTACCTTATATTATTAATTGAATAATGACCATAATTGTTTCAGGTGAAAAAATTAATATTTTTCCAAGAAATGAAGGACACTGCGGTGTAGTGACGGTAAACGAAGGTGATAACGGTTACAACAATTATAACCGAATTGCTAAATATTCTACACATCCCTGCTATGATACTTTACCATTTATTTGTGAACTCGATGTAAAATTGTAAATTTAATAGCAACAATTATTGTTATTTACATTTATTTAAATTTATTCTTGCATAATAATATTATAGATTGGATTAATTAAAACAAAATTGTTTCATTGTTCCTATACGAACCCGCCTGCCGAACTTGACAACTATGGCAAAAATCTTCCTTATGGGGCTTTAATAGGCTGTAATAAATGAATTAATGAATGAATGATCCACCAACACATATAGTCTCGTGAGTGTTGTTAAAGGCAACTACTAATTTATTAAAACTTACAACTATCATTGTTGGCGACGCGAGATAATATTTCCTAAAAATCATTCATTGTTTCTTAAGAATATATTTAAATGTATATTAATTATATAAATGCTAAATTCTGAAAGATAAAGATATTTGAATTAACTTAGAGTCATGCTTTATATAGCAATCGCCTATGTTATACGAATAAAGAATTAAATGTTTAATTACTTGCATAACTTAAAGAGATGTGATAAAAGATAAGATGCATAATGGCGAGATGAGGATAGCAAATGTTATAAAGAAATAGTATTATATACAAAACAGAGATAGCTATAGTTTTTAGAAAGAGATGGCTACTAGATGACTAGCCTCCTATATGTGAATCGAGGGTCGTGCTCAGATTAGTTGTACGCCTTGTAAGGGTATTTGTTATCGTCAAATTATAGTACCTTTAGTTATACTTCTTTTTTTATTGTTTTTGTTATTGAAAGAGTAATGTTTTCATGTAAATTTCAGTAATGTATGAAAATATATGTAGCAAATATTTTTTTTGTAAGATAAGAGTGACAAAAGAGCACACAGTCCACCTGATGGTAAGTGGTTGCTGCGGCCCATAGACATCTACATTTATCATCAATTACAAATCAAAATACAGAAGCGTCGTCACCCGTGAGGACTAATATGGAATGCCTCGTTTCCAATAAAAAGGGTTTCCGGTTCTCTACACTCACCATACGAAACACAGCAGAGTTAAGCTGCTATTTTACGCTGGTATTCTGTGAGAGCGTGGTCCTTCCCCAGTCGAGCCGACCCATTCGTGCTACAACTATACTACTAATATAGCTACAGCATGGCTCTACCGCGTAAACAAATGTTTAATAGTAAAGTAAAGAAATGTTTCATAAAATAATAAGACAAGAAATATGTTAAAAGCATTGAACTTTATTGATATAACATCGAAATAATAACAAAATTGTATAGGAAAATTAAAGTCATTTCACTAATACTTAAAAGAGTTAATTCGTGAATTTGTCAAATTGACTCTGGGTATATCGAAGTGCTACAGTGTTTGTACATTAGGGCTACGATGGCATTCCGAGTACAGAATCAGAGTACGAAACCTACACAGGGTGATGTTATATCCACGAAACTCTTCATCGCTGCATTGGAAGACGGTTTCAAGCTAATGAACTGGAAAGGATACTATATTAAACATCAACGGATTTGCGGACGATATATTCCTTATGGCAGAATCGCCGGAGGACTTAAGCATTATGCTCAATAACCTCAATAGTGCCTCTAAACGGATAGGTCTTAAGATGAACATGGACAAAAAGATCATGTATAGCGTCCATGTCACACCTATGCCGGTAGTTGTTGGGAGCACTAAGCTCGAAGTTGTTGACAAGTATGTTTACCTGGGACAAATAGTCCGACTAGGTAAATCCAACTTCGACCGAGAGGTCAATCGACGGATTCAACTCGGCTGGGCAGCGTTCGGGAAATTACGCCACATCTTCTCGTCAGGTATACCTCAAAACTTGAAAACGAGACTGTACCGAGAGAAGAGAAAACCGAGAGAGTCTCTAGAGATAAATTTAAAGAAATAAATATATTAACTTTGGCTTCTCAGTATATTTACGAAAATTTAAAGTATCTTTACAAAAACAAAGGTAGTTTTAGTAAAAAAAGTGATATAAATTCTGTAAACACTAGAAACAAACACAAGCTAGTGATGCCAGTTTCTCGACTCCACAGAGTCAGTAATTCTTTCTTGGGGCAATGTATACGCTATTACAACAAGGTCCCGGAAGTGTACAGGTTCTCTCTATTACCAAGTTTAAATGTTTTATTAAGCTGAAACTGTATAAAAAGGGTTATTATAGTGTAAATGAATACATGTTTGATAATAACCCCTGGGAATGAGGTGGTCGCTACCAAGCAGTGTCTGAAATAAATTTTGTAAATAGTTCGTAATCATTTATATTATAAAATTTATTTAAAAAAAAGTCCCGCTGGGTTTCTTGCTGGTTTTTCCCAGGACAGAGGTTTCTTTTACGAACCAGTGGTAAAGTAAAAAATGACTTTCAATAAGAATTACACATGTAATGTATATTGAATAAAAAATTATTCTATTCTATTCTATTCTAGTACAACCAGTGCGTGTTGCCAGTGATGACCTATGGTACTGAGACGTGGTGGTTATGCTCGGGGTTTCTCTGCGTGATAAACTTAGAAATGAGAATATCTGCAGTAGAACCAGAGTGACCGACAAAGCCCAAAGGATAAGTAAGCTGAAGTAGCATTGGGTCGGCCATATAGCTCGAAGAACCGACAACCGATGGGGAAAAATGGTTCTCGAATGGCGACCTCGTACCGGCGCAGGAAGTGTCGTCCTCCCACTAGGTTTAGGACCGTGCTTTGTGGCATTCCTTGGGGGAGGCCTATGTTCAGCAATGGGATTGTGAATGGCTGTAATAATGATGATGATGATGATAATGATGATGATTCTTTAAGATATTCATGTTTATTGCTGAAAATAATTATTTAATGTATGTAGATTAGATATTTAAGAATTGTTACTCTAAAAACAGCTTATAAATTCGTAACGTTTTATTGAATATTTTTTTAAATGTGATATTAATGTTTTAATTATTTTATAATGTGCATATGTTTTGTTTTATGTAAAATATAATTGAGTTATGATATTTTGACGGCCAATAAAGTTATTGGCCTATGGGGTCTTAAATGGAAATGTGATAATGAAAATTAGTGATTTGTTTATGACGAAATGTCGTTTGGCGCGCGGTTCTCCTTACGGTATAGCTTTGTAGTACAATAGGAGTGTTTGCATTTCGTTGGTTACGATAGCTTCACAGGCGCAGTTTACTGCCAAGGAACAAGGATCATAGTTAGTAGAGCATCGTAAAGGGCTCTACAAGAAAATAGAGCCCGCTCTACAACTAGAGCACGCTCTACCGTAAGGAAAAACTCAATCCCAGCGTAAACCAGAACCAATCAGAACACCCAGATATACAAACAGCCGTCTTTGACAGACTTTTGACAGCGCCGATGCCATCCATCTAGTATGAATTAGAGATCAGCACACAGGTCCTGGCCGACATATGAGCTGGTAACGTTCCAATCACAGCCATAAAAAGATCATTGACGTAGCTACTGGCTCGGCATTATGGAGGCGAGTAACCTGCGCCTACTCTACTGGAATCCGGATGAAATCCAGCAGAAGATCCACGAACTCCGTACAGTCGCCTAACAACAGGACATCCAGGTGATTTTACTGGTAGAGATTAAGTCAAGATCACCCACGCATCTCAAGCTGACAAACTAACATATCTACAGGCGGGACTAGGTCAATACTCAAGGGACCGCTTATAAAGACACAGCGGTTCTAGTAAGGAGACATCGTCCATCAAGAACTATACCTGCCAGATTACCAATTGATGCGCTCTATCAGCATAAAAATGGAGTCAGCGGGCGAGGAACTAAGGGTCTTTGCAGCATAACTCCCGCCAGAGATTACATTCTGCTGCTCAGACATCCAGACGGTAATGGAAGACGTAGCACCTAGCATCGTCGTGGGGGACCTGAACGCGAAGCACCCGGCTTGGGGATCCAGAGTGATCAACCCGCCGGATAGTAAACTATATGAAAATACAGAAAATCAACAACAACGTTTTAGGTCCCGAAGAACCAATGAACTATAACAATGTCTGTATGTATTGGAAATCGTGCTCTCTAGGAAATTCAACTGACCGATAGTGGTAGAGATGCTGTATGACCTGACCTCTCACCACCTCCCGATCTTGATCAGCCTTTGCCTTAAGGTAGTGACTACGCTGCCCAGAGCTTTTAAGACTAAGATATTATATCCTAAAGATGTTGTTGGTAGATCCTGCAGTCACAGGCTCTACTAACAACATCTTTAGGAGAGACCTCCAGTATATACGCCGATCAACTCAGCGGACGACGTAGGGGCAACTAGAATAACAAAAACGGTCAGAGAAGCCCTACACGCGGCCTCTATAATTTTCCCACTAACGCGAAAATGATACAAGCTTCCGCGAGAGATACACGTGCAGCTCAACTAGAAGAGTGCGCTGAGAAAGCTCTGGGTGCGCTCAGGCTGCCCGAGACTAAATACCAGACTCAACCAACTGACGGATGTCAGTCAGTCAGTCAAATTGAGCCAACAGTTAACCAAAACCAGCCCCCCCGTCTGCTCGCTGACCTAAACGCGGGTGAACGTTGTTACGAGGCCAAAGGCAGAGCGGATATTCAAGTAGAGCACTTCGAAGGGATATTTTTGCCGAACTCAGCAAGTGTGGGGCTTTTGAAGCTTCATTCACAGAAGGAGAGCCGCGTACGGGAGTTCCTTTCGTTGCCTGCGTCACCGCTTGTAGGAGAGTAGTTCATCTTCCCCGCTAAATTGCCGAAGATAGTAACCCAGCTGCAACCGAAGAAGGCGCTAGGACACGATGAGATAACGAATGCTGCACTCCGACAGCTGTCCAATAGATTACTTGTAGCGATAGGTCGACTCTACAATGGTATATTGCGGAAATCCCACTTTCCGGAGGACTGAAAAATCGGCAAAGTGATCGTTCTGCTGAAACCCGGGAAGGACAGGCGTAGAGTAGCCAGCTACAGGCCGATTACGCTGCTACCGCACATGCCTAAACTGTTGAAAGATTACTGTTAAGAAACATCCGCCCCTGCATACAACTTCGGGCGAATCAACATGGATTCAGGAGAGACC